GCCTCTTCCGGTGGTGGTGTTTCCTTCACAGAGTGTTTTTATTCCATTGGCACCTGCGTTTCTTTCACTTAGCTAGCGTGAGTGTTTGTGAGGAGATTTGAAGTGGTGTGATCTTAGGATGCTCACTGCCCAGCTAGCTCCCTACTGGTGAGCCTCAGCCCGAAAGTGTGTTTTGTTTTTTTACGCACCCTGAAGGAGCGTAAAACTTTGCTCCTTCGGCATCAAGAATTTTAATATATATATTTAACATAAGTAGAGTTGTGAAAAATAAAGTATTTTTGTATTCAGATTCACGTCTCTTGTCCTCTGTGGTAGCGAACCTGTGTCCTTTTGAATTTTCCCCATTTATCATAATGGGGTGGCGTAGTCTGTTTTTCCTGGTTTGATACTTTTCGCAGCAGTGTAACTTTTGGCCGTACACCCACCTCGCCACAGATTGGCGTATAGTCGGCAGGGTTTTCCACTTTTGGACAGAGACGTGGGTGTGTATGAAGTTGTTTGTTTTTTTGTGTTTTTCCCTTGTTTTCTCTTTGTTTTTTTCTTGTATTCTAGGATTGACTTTCCTGAAGAGTGGCAGCAGAACAGCAGTGTACGTCTAGTGTATTAATTCTGGCCCTTATTGGGGGCTGATTCTTCTTTCATTGGTGAGTACCACTGTAGTTGAAGTATGGAGGAAGAATTACAAGAATTGAGGGAGATGATTGCTCTGCTTAGAGCAGACAACGAGAAGTTGCGTCAGGAGCGGGTTCCTGTGCCCCCAGGCCCTGTTGATGTGCCCCCAGGTCCTGCTTATGTACCCCCTTTTATACCTGGACCTTCTGTTGAGGTCACCCGACCAGAACGATTTGTGTTTGTACCACGAGACAGGAAGTGCCCAAAATTCAATGGTAGGGTTGGCCTTGGCATTGAGGAATGGGTTGAGGAGGCCGAGGCCTGTATGCGCGTTCGTCACCTTTCTGATGCTGATAAGGCGTTTTATTTGTTTGATCATTTGGAGGGGGAGGCAAGGGAAGAGATTAGGTACCGTCCAGAGGTGGAGCGTAAAGACCCCAACCGAATTATTTCAGCTTTACGGGAATTGTACGGTTGCTCACAGTCATACGTTTCGTTGCAGGAGGCCTTTTTCTCGAGAAAGCAACAGGAAGGGGAGAGCTTGTTGGAGTTCTCCCTTGTCCTGATGGGTCTATTCGAGCAAGTGAAACAAAAATCTCCTCACGGTATGTCAAATTCACCTATTTTACTCCGAGACCAATTTGTCGAACACGTTTTTGATAGCGCCCTCCGTCGCGAATTAAAACAGTTGATACGCAGTCAACCTGCATTAACCTTGTTGGAGATTCGTGGCGAAGCCCTTAGATGGGAGAGGGAGGGTATGCCAGGAAGCACAAGGGCTCGAAGTCATTCTGTTCCTTCTGCTCATGGGATCCAATATGGGGTGCAAGGGAATCCATTTATCGGCGTAGGTAGTCAACCTGGGAATTCTGAATTGGCTGAGTTGAGGGATATGCTTAAAAGCCAACAAGAACAGTTAACTAAACTCACACAAAGTTTTGCTCGTTTGCAGACCCCTCAGTCGCGGGGTCAACCTCCTAGACAGGGCCCTGTTATATGTAGGAGGTGTCAAAAGCCTGGTCATTTTGCTAGGGAGTGCGATGGTGAACGCGCCCCGCCCCGTGCCTCGTTTTCCTCACGCGCCGTTCCGTCACTGGCTGAGGGAGGACGGCCTGGCCCATCAGCGACGTCGGAAAACTAGTCCCCACCGTGATTCCGGGCCATAGCACGGATGGGGAAGTAACTGGCTCAAAAGTTTCAAATGCGTCAAATTTAATGTCCGCTTGCCCGCACCTTGTTGTATTGATTGGTGGAGTTCGAGTGCCCTGTCTAGTGGATACTGGCTCCATGGTGACTACGATCACAGAGAGTTGCTTCCAGAAACACTTCGAACCATGGGGTCAGGATCGACTTAAATCGTGCCAGTGGCTACAGCTTCGAGCGGCTAATGGTCTTTCAATTCCATATATCGGTTACATGGAATTGGACGTCGAAATATGTGGTCAGTTGATTTCAGAGTGTGGCGTGCTTGTTGTACGGGATCCTCCTGGTGGCTTGTGTGCTCGGGTTCCAGGTGTGCTGGGAATGAATGCTCTTGGCCGATGCTACCAGGAGCTTTTTCGACAACATGGCCCGGCCCTCTTTGACTCGCCTTCGACCATAGAGGTTCCAAATTCCGTTCTACAGGCTCTGCAACATTGTCATTTAGTCGATGCTCAGTCTCCTGGGGTGAGTTCAGGAAGGGTTAGAGTGCGAGGACGGAGACCATGTCGCATCCCAGGTGGCACGATGAAGTTTGTGGCAGCTACTTGTTCCGCACAATATGCCAATAGCACTGTTCTTTTTGAACCTCCAGAGTCTGGGTTACCGGCTGGTCTGTTGGCTTCCCCGGCATTAGTGCAGGTTACACGAGGTACTGTTTATCTACCTGTGGTAAATGTGGGAACCATAGACGTGTTGCTTTATGCTAATACTGTCCTTGGTACACTAAATAATGTTTGTGTGGTTAGCTTGCCATCAGGAATTAGTGAGGTCCGCTCTGTAGCAGCCACAGTGGGTTCCAAAGCCCCTGAAGTGATCCCTCTTGTTCAGGAACAAATTGAAGCACTGGACCTGTCTGTTTTATCAGATATAGAACAGGGTCAGGTAAAGGATTTGCTTTATAGGTTTCAGTCTGTGTTTTCTACTCATGAGGGGGACTTAGGATGTACAGGGTTGATTTCTCACGATATTCCCCTGCTAGACACCGTTCCTGTCCGGCAACGGTATAGGCGTATACCTCCGTCGGAATATGAGGTGGTGAAGTCCCACATTAATCAGCTGTTGGAGGCAGAAGTTATAAGGGAGAGTTGTAGCCCGTACGCTTCACCAATTGTCCTTGTTAAAAAGAAAGACGGTGGTCTACGTATGTGTGTCGACTACCGTCAGCTAAATTCAAAGACCCGAAAGGACGCGTTCCCTTTGCCACGCATCGAGGAATCCTTGGACTCCCTGACAGGGGCCTGCTGGTTTTCCACCATGGACTTGGCTAGTGGATACAACCAGGTTCCTGTCACTGAAAGAGATAAGCCTAAGACAGCATTCTGCACCCCTTTTGGGTTGTTTGAATGGAATCGTATGCCCTTTGGGCTTTGCAATGCCCCAAGCACCTTCCAGCGTCTAATGGAACGGATGTTTGGGGACCAGCAGTGTAGGTCTTTACTCTTGTACCTTGATGACATCATAGTCTTTTCTTCTTCAGTGCCTCAGCAGTTAGAGCGGTTGGAGGTTGTTCTGAGTCGCTTAGAGCGTGAGGGTTTGAAGGCTAAATTGAGTAAATGTGCATTCTTCCAACGTGAGGTGAAGTATTTGGGACATGTTATCTCAGCACAAGGAGTATCAACTGATCCCGGTAAAATCGAGGCGGTATCTAATTGGCCACGCCCCTCTAGTGCATCGGAGCTGCGTTCATTTTTAGGCTTTGCAAGCTACTATCGCCGTTTTGTTGAGGGGTTTGCGAAATTGGCGGCCCCTCTTCATAAGATGGTAGCTGCATGGTCTACTACTAAGCCTAGGACACGAACAGGTCAGGGTTTTGCTAGTGCCTGGACCGAACAGTGCCAGCAGAGTTTCGATGAGCTGAAGAGTAGGCTTACTACCGCCCCAGTACTCGCCTATGCCGACTTCTCCCTGCCTTTTATCCTGGAGGTAGACTCTAGCCATGGTGGTCTGGGAGCTGTCCTTTCGCAGGAACAAGGGGGTAAAGTACGGCCAATTTCGTATGCTAGCCGCAGTCTAAGGCCCACTGAGCACAATATGTCCAACTATAGCTCCATGAAGTTGGAGTTTTTGGCGCTCAAGTGGGCCTTGACTGAGAAATTTAGGGAGTATTTGTTAGGACAGCAGTGTATTGTCTACACTGACAACAACCCTCTCAGCCACCTTACTACTGCAAAGCTTGGGGCTGTAGAGCAGCGTTGGGCTGCCCAGCTAGCAGCATTTAATTTTGAGATCCGGTATCGGTCAGGGAGGAGTAACCGTAATGCTGATGCGCTTTCCCGACAAGACCCTGCTAGCCATGGGACTATGAGAGGTTGGTTACCAGGCACTGAGGTTCCAGAGGTCATGATGGAAACGGTGGTAGATCTGGGTGTACAAGCTACCCAGGCAGTGGTTTCGGTTTTGCCTAGTTTGGTGGGGGATATGAGGGCGTTACAGGAAGCAGATTCTGTGATCAAGGAGGTTTTAGTGTTCTGGAGGCTAGGAACACTCCCCACCTCTGAGGAGCGCCGGCAGCTGTCGCAGACTGCCCGGGTTCTACTGAATCAGTGGGATCGGTTGCTGGAGAAAGAGGGTGTTCTGCATCGTCGTGTGTTTCGTTCTAATGGCGGTGAAGAGATTCTCCAGGTAGTTCTTCCGGCTGTCTTGCATAAGGACGTTTTGACACAGATGCACCAGGGACATGGGCACCAAGGGGTTGAGCGGACCACTGAGTTGGTGCGGCAGCGCTTCTACTGGCCACGATTGACCTCTGATGTAGCCCAATGGTGTCGGGAGTGCGAAAGGTGTCAGGTCGCCAAGGATACGCAGCCAGTTGCCCGCAGCTTTATGGGTCATTTATTGGCCTCCAGGCCAAATGAAATCTTGGCCATTGATTTTACACTGCTAGAACCATCTCGCTCAGGACTGGAAAGTGTCTTGGTGATGACTGATGTCTTCACCAAGTACACCCTTGCAATCCCCACTCGAGATCAGCGAGCCGAGACTGTGGCTCGCACATTGGTGGCGGAGTGGTTCTACAAGTTGTACCTGTACCTGGTCGTATTCATTCTGACCAAGGCCGCAGTTTTGAGTCTGCCCTAATACAACAGCTTTGTAGTCTCTATCAGGTCGAGAAGTCCCGCACTACACCGTACCACCCGGCCGGCAATGGGCAGTGTGAACGTTTTAACCGGACTTTGCATAACCTCCTGCGCACATTACCCCTTTCCCGAAAGACCGATTGGGTCTCTGCTCTCCCTCAGGTGCTTTTCTGTTATAATACCACCCCTCATCAAGCGACTGGTGAGTCACCATATTTCCTGATGTTTGGCCAAGAGCCAAGGCTCCCCATTGATTTTCTTTTGGGTAGAAGCCAAGAGATGAGGTCGGGTACCGTGAATGAGTGGGTGTTGGAGCACCAAACCAGGTTGCTGGTGGCTTTCGAGGGGGCCCAGGAGCATTTAAAGGTAGCGGCGGATCGTCGTAGGAAGCAACACGACCTGCACGTCCGAGATGCACCATTGGGGGAGGGCCAATTGGTTTACCTTCGGGATTATGGCGCGAGAGGGCGCCATAAGATCCAGGACCTGTGGAGCCCAGTGGTGTATCAGGTGGTGGGAGCACCGCAGGCAGGTGGGTCTGTGTATACCATTGCACCAGTGGATGACTTAGATAGGGTAAAACGTGTCCACCGCTCTTTGTTGAAGCTCCGTATACGCAGGGATTCTCCGGTTGAAGTCCCTGCAGGTGTTCCTCTGGTGATCGAGTCAGTACCATCAGAGGAATCACCATCTGATGAGGTCGATCTGTGGGTCTTGGTACCTGAAACTCCACAGGCTGTCGGCGGGTTGGCACCAAGGGATCCAGTGTCATTAGCGGGCCAAGCTCCTCGATGGTTAACCGAGAATATTGACCCTACAGCTTTGGCAGCCCCTGGACAGCCTGGTGTGGCTCCTCTGGATCCAGAGTTGGTGATGGAACCCTTAACTGTAGCTCAACCTGGGAATAGTGAGATTGCCTTAAGACGGACGGGGCGAGCTAATGCTGGTCATCATTCTAATCGACACCACCTCCCTCGGGCAGCGGAAGTGGTGAGGGGTGGTGCCTCTATGGTTTCCTCTGTGTCGAATTCTGTCTCTGCCCTCTTTAGGCCCTGGCACTAGGTCATCCCTTGGGATGAATGGCCAGTTGGTCCATCGTCGGGGCGACGTTGCAAGAGCTAGGGGTAGATTGTGGCAGGGCGGATTAGATCCCGCCTGATTAATTGTGGAGAATGATGGGTGTGTCAGCCTATCAGCAGCCATCCCTGGCATATTTAAGGAGGAGTTCAGGCCACCTGGGTATGTGTCATCGTCACTTTTGTTTGGGTGCGCGCGCATCTTTGCTGGAGGTATGTACCTAGTTGTTTGGCTAATGTTGCTGCTAATCTATATGCACCATTAAGGTGGAAATGTATATGTTTTAGCCAGACTAGGGTCCGGATTTGTGACGTCGCTGTTGGTTACAGGCTGTCCTCCTCACAGGTATGTTATTGCTAACGGATTATTGTTAGTTTGGGGTTTAATCTCCGGTAACCTATGTTTCTATCGTAGTACAGCTTGTGTGTTTGGTCAGATGAAACACCGGTGCAATTGCGGCTTGCCTATTATAAACGAGGCTGTGAGTAACCGAGTCTGCTGTGGGTCTAGCGATCTACCTTTGGAAAGGTAATTTAATCACTGATTTTTACGGATTGTTTTTTTAAAATAAAATCATTAATTGTTTATTTTCCAAAGTGCGTCGTGCAGTATGTGAGCGGTTCATCCCGGTGGACTGCGGGGCAAAATGCTCCATCGACAACGTCGTTAAGACTGCACTGCTTTGTTCTGCTGCCACTACCCCTATCGTTTATTATTTTGATGTAGTACTTGTTTTTTTCTTCTAGTTTATTTTGTTTTGGAAACTTGATTTAAGCCATTGCTGGTGGTTTAAGTGAGTGGCTACCGTCATTGAACGTGAGACGTGCTGTTAAGCGTGTAATTTAGCCCCACTACCTTTTGTAATATTGCCACCAGCGGTTTTGGTTATTTTGCTCTTTGGTCAGTGCGCCTGTACAGACTGAAGAAAGGAGCTATATTTTGTTTCTGTGATTTAATTTATTGTTCTTCTTTTGTTTTGTATTCAGTTTTTTTTATTAGCATTTGGCTGCTTGCATGTATGTTGAACTGGCAGACTGAGGTGAATTGGTGAACACTGGCCGGTTTAACTTCTGTGACCAGTAAACTGCCAAGTGTTGGCTTAATTTATTGTCATCAATTGTTTAATTCTAATTTGTTGGTACCAGTGCAGCTAATTGTGATTTGTATTGTTTGTGTTTCTTTCAGGAGCTGAAGGCCCCACCCCAGTGTAGGGAAGCTAGCTGGCGGTGCCTCTTCCGGTGGTGGTGTTTCCTTCACAGAGTGTTTTTATTCCATTGGCACCTGCGTTTCTTTCACTTAGCTAGCGTGAGTGTTTGTGAGGAGATTTGAAGTGGTGTGATCTTAGGATGCTCACTGCCCAGCTAGCTCCCTACTGGTGAGCCTCAGCCCGAAAGTGTGTTTTGTTTTTTTACGCACCCTGAAGGAGCGTAAAACTTTGCTCCTTCGGCATCAAGAATTTTAATATATATATTTAACATAAGTAGAGTTGTGAAAAATAAAGTATTTTTGTATTCAGATTCACGTCTCTTGTCCTCTGTGGTAGCGAACCTGTGTCCTTTTGAATTTTCCCCATTTATCATAATGGGGTGGCGTAGTCTGTTTTTCCTGGTTTGATACTTTTCGCAGCAGTGTAACTTTTGGCCGTACACCCACCTCGCCACATATAGATGACCTTACAGATGTCATTAGTAACTATATCTCCTTTTGTGAAGAGACGCTTATACCCCGTAAGACAGTTAAAATATTTCCAAACAATAAGCCATGGTTTACTAATTCCCTCAAAGCACTTATGAATGAAAGATGTAGAGCATTTCACGAGGGAAATTTGGTTAAAAAACTTGAATTGCAGAAGGAAATAAAAATAGAAGTGAGAAAAGCTAAGTTAAATTACAAAATAAACCTTGAGAAAGAGTTGAGTATGAACAATTTGGGGTCTGTCTGGAAAGGGATGACACTTATAACCGGAACTAAAGGGTGTGAGATCAAGAAAGTTCAACTACCAGGGTATGACTCCAGTAGTCAGTTGGCAGAGGACCTAAATAAGTTTTATTTACGATTCGATGTCCCTGAATTTGGTCCTGTGATAGAGTCTATGAAATCTAAAACGAGTCATGGTTGTTCTTATAATTTTTTTGATGAAATGTCTGTGTTGAAAGTCTTCAAGGGCTGTAATGTGAAAAAAAGCCCCGGTCCAGATAAAATTGGAGGGCGTTTAATTAAGGTCTGTGCAGAACAATTAGCGCCAGTGTTTTGTAATATCTTTCAAAGATCACTTGCCCTCCAGAGTGTTCCAAAACTTTGGAAGGAAGCCATTGTAGTGCCAGTGCCGAAAACTTCACGTGCTGTAACATTAAATGACTTTAGGCCAATAGCATTAACATCCCTCATAATGAAATGCTTTGAGAAACTAGTAAAAGATGAACTGTTAAGTAAAACTAAGGATCTGTTAGATCCTTTACAGTTTGCATACAGAACTAAGCGAGGTGTTGGAAGACGCAACCGCAACTCTCCTAAATATGGTACTGCAGCATCTAGAGGGTAATAAAACACATGCCAAGCTCTTATTTATTGACTTTTCATCTGCTTTTAATTCTTTACAACCACATATTTTAGCCGACAAGTTAATCCCAAATTTTGGTCTTGATCTTAACTTGGTTGGTTGGGTCTTAGATTTTTTAACTGAACGAACTCAAAAAGTGCGAGTAAATGGTTGTCTCTCAGCTCCCCTGATAACATCTACAGGTTCTCCCCAAGGATGTGTCTTGTCTCCTTTATTATATATTTTATATACAAATGACTGTATAAGCAAATATAAAAATAGGTACTTTTTAAAATTTGCAGACGACACTGTTATCGTGAGTCTTTTAGAAGACAATGAAATATGCCATGGTCCAGTGGTTGACGATTTCATAAAGTGGTGTGATGATGCCTGTTTGCAGCTCAATGTATCCAAGACAAAAGACATGAGTATTGACTTCAGAAAACAAACACATCCCTCCCAAGACATATTTATTAAAAATAAGAAGGTGGAATGTGTGGAGAGCTATAAATATCTGGGGACAATTATTGATAATAGATTGCGCTTTGATCTGAACACAGGCTATATGTAAAAAGGGACAGCAGCGCCTTTACTGTCTCAGAAAACTGAGATCTTTTAACATAGACAAGATATTGATGGAACTGTTCTACAAATCCTATATAGAGCCAGTGTTATCCTTCTCTATTAGTTGCTGGTTTGGTAATCTCAGTGTCAAATACAAAAACTCACTAAATAAATTAGTCAAAAACAGTGGGAAGATCATAGGTAAAGAGCAAAGAGGATTGTCAGGTGTGTTTAATAGAAACGTTTTGAGTCGAGCCCACTCTGTGATTTCAGACAGAGAACACTTCTTATATCCAGAGTTCTCCATGCTGCCATCGGGTCGTCGTTACAGATTACCAAAAACTAAAAACAATAGATACAAATTCTCTTTTGTTCCGAGTGCAATTAGACTTCTAAATAATTCTTAAAGGTATTTATTGAGGTTTTTATTTATTATTTTTTATTCTGTGTTTTTAAATACTGTATGTGTACTGTATGTGTCAGTTTGTGTCTGTATATCATGTGCTGCAACCAAATTGCCCAATAGGGATCTTAATAAAGTTTGACTTTGACTTTGTTCACAACCTCTTCAGTCTCAATAGTAGAGGGAGTAAAACTATTGGCAAATAAAATAGCCACACCACCACTAATTGAGGATTTGTGACTAAAAAAAGAAAGACCTTTAAATTCTTTTGCCCATTCATCAGCATTTGTCTTATCACTATGTGTTTCTTGCAAAAATAACACATCAAGTTTTTTCTGATTCATAGTGTTATTTATTTGTGCACGCTTTATGCATTCTCTTGCTCCATTCACGTTTAAGGATGCAACACGAAAGTCACCCATGTGAAAGTTATGAAAAAATAAACTTAGGCCATAAAGAAAAAAAAAGCCAAGAAGGGCCAAAAAAATAGTCAAATTTCCTGCCATTAATTATTCAACTGTTGTTGGAGTTTTGTCACAAACTTTTTCAACCTGTAAACTTCTTTATTAGTAAAACATCCCTCAGCCATGAAAGCCCTCGTATTTTCCACAAAACGCTTTATGTCTGGAAAATAATCAGCAACCTGTACACCCCTCAAGTTTTTTGACATTTTCAAGAACTTCTTAATTTCGTCAGCATCATAGTCTCGACACGTCCACTCATTCTGGGAACATCTAGAAGCACCAGAATCAGAGAGATCACTCTCATTTCCTACATCATCATCAGACTCTTTTTCATTTTCTGTTTTTTTAGCTTGTTTTGATTCAGAAACCTTGTCATTCTTTTTCCTCTTTAACGGTGTTTTAAAAACTACTGTATCTAAATCCATCATTAAATCATCACCTGAGTTGACACTTTCTGCAAGAGACTTTGCTTCAGATACTACAGTTGTGACATCCGAACTATCCATGCTCTCATCAGCCTTGGGGTCACCTTTGTCAACTACAACTACATCAGCTAAAGCATTCTTCTCGTTATTCCCAGCTATGGCTTGATTCTCATGAAAAGTTGTTTCAGTTAGACCACTAGTGGATGGTCTGGGATCAGTTTGGGTTAAATCAGGAACATTATCTACTGTATTCCTGACCTGCACATCAGCTTCGCCTGAGACACCTTGTGTGCTTGTACCATTACTGTCCGGACAAGCACGCACTAAATGCCCTGTTTTTCCACAGCCAAAACACTTCATCACATCGGTGCTCACAAAGACGGTGTAATCAAAGTCATCAACTCTGAGTTTCAAATTCAGATTAAGCTCAGTTCGATTATCTTTCAAGATCATATAAGTAAATCTCCTGAAAGATACCACATGTTTGATCAAGTCTGATTTGCTACCCAGAGCGATCTTTTTCATGGGACTGACTACTTTTCCGAACCGTGACAGTTCTTTTATTAGCATCTCATCTTTTATGAACGGCGGTACGTTAGACAGAGTGACTTTTTTCGCGGACCGTAGAAAGGGAAAGCACTGGAGTGAACAAACCACTAATCACTACACCTTTTTCCACTACTTCATTCGCTCTCTCCACAGAATTTAAAAACAAAACCATTGCATTTTTCATCCTAGATGCCGCTAAAATACACTCATGGCCAACAACATTTCCAACGGCAAGAATGCACTCCTCTACATTCACTGCGGTCACCACTTTCACTCCGTGACGCCGCGTGAGAGAGTCTAAACAGGTGTTGGAGTTTTGGGCTGCCATGCTTCCCAGTGACACACACTGGGTGCTGACACCCGAAAACCTAAATCTAACACCCGCTACACTATAAACAACGCAACCCAAACTCAAAGAGATTGAAAGAAAAAGAATTGAAGGAAGAAAACCACAGCGGGCATAACCCACACGCACTCACCAAACGCACCTCACACTCGCTCAACAGACGCTCACGCATGCGCAGAGAGAGAGAGAGAGAGAGAGAGAGAGAGAGAGAGAGGGGGGGGGGGATTAAGTTCACCCTTATTATTCAGATCAATAAAAAGTAGTTAAAAACAATGGTTCCTTCAACAGTCAATGACCAGCAGGTGTATTGGATGGTCTTGATACAAAAAAGACCTTCCAGGCCTCCAGCACAGATCTGTAGAAAGGGGAGAGATACACCATTTCTCTTTCTTGCAATTGCATTAAAACCAAATGTTTGTCAAACCCATGCCTCCTGCCCTCCTTAAAAGAGCTATTACAGTGTCCATCCAGGCAGAGTTTACATTATACTGGAGTCTTTGCGC